GCGGATCGAGTTGTCCGCTCAGGTAAGCCAGATCTAGAACATTACACCCAGGTTTTAAATTTAGAATAACACAGCCTCATGCCGGATCCCTAGTAGGAACGCTTGTTTGCATCATGTGCATTTCACTTTGGGGACTCAACACAAGGGTTGGGTCCGTCTAGGACAGGTGTACCCGAAAATAAAAAGACCAACCTAATGCATTTTTACATGCTACCTATGCATTCATTTGTTTCGGTTTTCATGTTGACCGACTTCTAGATTAGGTAAGAAAAATCAAAGAAAAACCAATTTTGAGGTATGGGATAGGATTTCATCCATTTCCTAAAAATGGTGTTCAAAATATCTCAAAACTCTGCCGAAATTTTGAAAAAAAAAGAAAAAAAAGAGATTTTTGAAAAAAGAAAAAGAAAAAATGGGGTTAGTCAAAAATGGTTTATGTTTTTCTCATCACGTCAAAACTGGCCGAACTACGCGAGTTTGATTCTCACCGGATGTGGGATACGTAGGCAACCCTCATCGGGTCCAGCCCCGCTTTTGAAAATTTTGAAAAAATATGAAGTGTCGTCATTTTTGTCGTAAATAAAGTGGGTGATGTTGCTCTTGTCTAAATAGTCGAGTGTCCCGCCGGAAGGCTGTTTTTGTAAGAATAGCCACCGACGGTTTCTTTGTCAATTTTGTCCATTTAGGGAACACAGCCCTAAAATCTTCCATTTTCGAAGTAATGAAGGGCCGTATTCGCAAAAGTAGCCCTGATTTATTTGATTTTTGCAAAATAAACCCTTTTTATCAGTTTTCAAATAAGATTCATTTTGTCTTTAAACCAATCACCTTAATCTAAATGTGCAGAATGAGCACGAGTCAAAATTTGCCAATGAAGGTTTTAACCAAGATTCCGTTGGAACTACACATATGGTGGGAAGATTTGGGTGGGCAAGGACGAGACATGGTCAACTATTATTTGGGGGCGCTCACCGGATTACTAAATATTAGGCATAAGGGAGATATAATTAAAGCGCTGGTGACATTTTGGGATCCAACTCACAACGTTCTAAATTTTTCGGACTTCGAACTCACACCTACTTTGGAGGAGATAGCGGGTTATGCTAGGAGTACCGAGGGTGTAAGACATAAATACTTGTCGCTCCAAGGGCCGTCACCCCTCACATATTTCTAGATTTGCTAAAAATAAGCAGGCACATTATGCAGATTTGGCGGGTGGGTTTTCCACTCTACACTTCATATACCAGCGGTACGGACATGTAGAAGGATTTGAAAACCTGGAAAGCAGAATCTGTAGTAAAGGGAACCGACTAAAATGGGAAGAGCATAAATGCTTCGATTTCATGGCGGCATTCTTGGGTCTTCTACTATTTCCCAGGAAGGATGGGAATATTGATCTACGGATAGCCGGAGTCGTCAATACTTTGATTCCCAATGCCAAGAGCACCCTTGCACCTATAATAGTGTCTGAAATATTCCGAGCTCTCACAGCTTGCAAAGCCAGAGTAGATTTTTTCGAAGGGTACAATTTGTTACTACAAATGTGGATGATTGAGCATCTGTGTCATCATCTTCGGTACATGAATTATGGATATAGAGGGAAAAGTAGCATAGAGGAGTTTGGTACAAGGGTCACTGGATTCAAGATGCCAGAAGGGGTCGGAGATTGGATATCCCGTCTTCATTCCGTAACTACAGACCAAATAGAATGGACGTTGGATTGGCTTCCTGTTAATGAGATTGTATACATGCCCGCCACCGGTCCTGACTTCCTCCTGATGGGTCTTGAAAGTATCCAGCCTTACGCCCCATACCGGGTTTTGAGACAGCTAGGAAGATTCTAAATAATCCCCAAGGATGAAGACCTTAGCCTTCATGCAGTCGAGATCCGCTTTGATGGCCAATTTCGTGAAGCAGTGGTCCGCCAGATCTGAAGTGAATGCCAATACTTGACTGCAAACACCCGAGTTCGTGATTTATCCAATGGTGAAGTCTCGTCCGATTACCTTGCCTGGTATAAAACGAGTGTTGAGTTTGGAAGACCAGCTAAAAGACCCCACCTCCAAGAATTTGTTGAAGCATTGCAAGAACAACGGGATTGGCTGACCAAAGAAAATGAATATAGGGTCATCATAAGCAAGTTGGAAAAGCAAGTGAGAGATCATAAATTTGATAATGGGTTGCAAGAAGCCGCGGATGAGGGGTGAAAAGAAAAGGTTAGCCCAAGAAAATTAATCCCTCCAAGCCTAAATCCAGAAGATGAAAATAGCAGCCGAGAACCCTGCCAGAAGTGGAAAGGATGAGAAGCTTATAAACATTCTTAAGCGGAAAGTATGTGACTATGGATTGATTTGGAAAAGACTGAGAGTGAACTAGCAAAGACCCGAGCAAAGTTAGAGAGGAATGTGGAGGAACGGTCAAGTTTCATTCAACAGTTGAAAGAAAAGTACGACAAAGGAATCATGGGTTTGGAGAAAAAGATCAATACCCTTGAGAGCGAAATGACCAAGCAAGCAAAGAACTTCAAAGCAGAAAGAGAGCATTGCTATGCCTTGATGTCGCAACTAGAAGAGGACCTGCAATAATTGCAAGAGCAAACTCATATGGCCACACAAGTTTTGGAGGTCACATCTCAACAAATTGGATGTCTGCTACAAGAGAAGGGCGTCATCGGGGAGAGGTTTAGAAGAATTGCTGACTATATTGTGATGAAGTGCAATGAATGCGAGGACATGACCAGGTCCATGTTCTTTGCTGCAGTTATGATTTTGTTTTCCATCGGATAATGGACGACCTATATCGCCTCTATGAAGATATGGCACATAGGCCCACTGCGAGACCGACTGATGTCCCGTGGGCCCCTAGAGCAGTATTGTAGGAACTTACGTATTCGTGATTTTATTATTCGAGTCTGTATAGCAGTTTCTTTTATAGTCTGTTAGTCCACTTTGAGTCTTATTTTTGTTTTTTATGCTTAAGTTTGTAGGATGAAGTCGTTGTAATAGAGAAAAATATAATGTTTTTATTTAATGAAAATTTGAAAACCCAAAAAATATGTCTTTCTTTTATTTTGCATTTATCTCCTGAACTACGTAATGATCTGATACATGTGGCATCATGATACATAGGCAATCCCCATAGGATTTGATCATAATCATAAAATGAAAAAGAAAAAAAAATAGAAAATAAAAAGAAAAGAAATTGAGTGGAAAGAAAGAATGGCAAAACAAGAGAACAAAAGCGA